AGAGAGAGAGAGAGAGAGAGAGAGAGAGAGAGAGAGAGAGAGAGAGAGAGAGAGAGAGAGAGAGAGAGAGAGAGAGAGAGAGAGAGAGTTTAATGACCTGTCCCCTCTACTTCCCCCTCGACTTCCCACGGTACCCAAGACCCTAGTGGTAATTGACTGTGCCAAGTTGACCTGCGCCCAGAAAGTAACGACAATAGTGAAGTGCCCACAGAGCAAGCGATTCCAACCCTTACCGTTGAATATTCTATAACTACATGTTAATTTATAACTTGATTATACTCAAAATGTTTGTTAAAAAATCCTTATTCTCAATCACTATGTTTGTAATCATTATTGTTGTCGATACTGTAGTTATCCAGTGTTCATGATTTAATTGTATTGTCATACCCAGTGTAACTGACCAGACCTGTGACCACAAGACCCTTACCCTGTTGTAAATCAGAGAGCCTGTACTGACATTTCCCACGAAAGAACAATGTTGCCATATTCTTATGTTTAGTGAATATTGTGAACCATTCGAAATTGCAGAGAGCCAAAATCACTCTGCCCTCAGCATCGGCTCGGTCAACACCTCTAGCTCCTCAAGCTCTGACCGCTTCACCTCGGGCGCGGCACGAGGCCTCGCCCCTCCTTGGGCGACTCTGCCACGCCTGACCTCTGTACACCACCTACCATACTCCCGTGTTAATAAAGTGTTGAAAGCTGCGACAACTTTAACTCCAACACCACTTTACTTCAAGAACAATCGGAGTACCAACCATACAGAGAAGAGAGAGCAAATAAGCCCACCACAAGTGCCATTACATATTTGGTGGCATTGCTCTAGGATATCAAACCCATATTATTACAGAGAGAGAGAGAGAGAGAGAGAGAGAGAGAGAGAGAGAGAGAGAGAGAGAGAGAGAGAGAGAGAAAGAGAGAGAGAAAGTAATGGAATATAGAATGAATAAGGATATATATATATATATATATATATATATATATATATATATATATATATAAAAGAGGCAAACAAGATAAAGTTACTATACAATAACAGACATAAGAGAAAAAAAAGAAATATGAAAAAAAAGAAAGAAACGAGAGGAAGAAAAAAGAAAAAAAAAAAAAAGAAAAAAAAAAAAAAAAAAGGAAAAAAGAAAGAAAGAAAGAAAGAAAAAAGAAAGAAAAAAAAGGGGAAGAAAAGGAAGGATGAAAGAAGAAAAAGAAAAGAAGAAGGAGGAGGAGGAAAAGAAGAAGAAAAAAAAGTGAAAGCAGTGACAAATGGAAAAATATCGTGCTTACCATGGGCAGTGGTGGTCCATGCGCCGTATGCACCGCTGGCAAATCCGGCAGTGGTGAGCACGAGGAGGTCTGTACATCTCGCATCGAGCACATACTGTCCAGTCATCACTCTTTTCTCCACCTGGGAAAAGGAGGGTAATAATGTTAATAATAACAATAACATTAATAAAAATAACATTAATAAAATCAATAACAATAAAAACAGTAACAATAATAATATTAATATCAATAATAATAAGAACAATAACAATAATATCAATATCAATTACAATAATAATAATAACTTTATTAATAACAATAACACTAATAATAATGATAATAATAACAGCAATAATAATAGCTATCATCATTATAGCAATAACAATAATAATAAAAATAATATTCATAACAATAACAATAACAATATCAATAATAATAATAATTATAATAATAATAATAATAATAATAATAATAAATGACTAACTAACAAAACCTTCAATGATCTTCAATTATACCATTTTTAGCAGAAAATGGTATAAACTAATAAGTTAATATAAACAGAAATACTATGAAATTGACAAAAGAAGAAGAAGAAGAAGAAGAAGAAGAAGAAGAAGAAGAAGAAAAGAAGAAGAAGATACGAGTATCATAACAATCATTTGGTTACAGTAATCCCTGGAATGATACTGGAATTTCTAATGATCTCAACACTACTGGAGTCTTGATTCTGATATGATCCCCCAGTCTGATTCTGCTTCTTAAAAATATAGATGGATACTTATTTCTCTGTAAAGTTTTGTACTCTAGTTTGGAAAAATTAAAGATTTACATTATGAGAAAATTAATTACTAAAAAAGGAAACTGATCTATGATAACAAAACAGTTGAAATATCCACCTTAATCTTCTGAAAGAAACCTCAAGACATTGCATTTAACAGGCAGATATACATGCTTTAAATGTGTACTATGTAACTGAGAAATAAGAATAATTAAATTTTGCTGAATAGATCTTCATTCAAAACTTAACCGCAATTATGTTATTAATTACAGATAGTCCCCTACTTACAAACATTCTACTTATGCACATTCCGTACATATGAACTTTTTTTTTTAAATACTTAAGTCAAAAAAATTGTTTGAAAGATGCTAGCAAACTTCAAATTTCCCAGGCGCGAATATAGTTCAAGAGTCTGCCACGCCGTGCTGTGCGCATCACTCACCTGCCCTCCCGCCATAA